GTGCATTCTGCGGGACATTGGATGCGCGCTACTCGAACTCTTGCCGCAAAATAACGAAAGTATTATGCCCGCCGCGAGCTAATGCGAAGAAACGGAATTTGCATCTACTGTTTGGAATCGCGTCCTGTATATTCGATTGATTGTCGCCAATGGCATTTGAGATGACAATGTAAATGTCTGCAAATACTGTCCAATGGTCATGTTTATTTTATTGTTGTCATTCTTGATTTCCTTTTATGAATGTTAGTGTAGTACCACAGAAAGATCTTCCGGACAAATTACAGTTCACTCCATCAACTCATCCTTATCTTATCCTCAGTTAAAGGCATCATTCACCCAAAATGGAGTCTATCAGATCTCGATGTTCAACAGTTGCGCCTTCAACCATATAACTGCCCAACTCGCGCTGTCTGAAGTTGCTTCCAAAGCGAGAAAATCGCTTCGAAAATCCTTTGGAAGAAGGGATCTCACGTTCGCCTAGCACGCGCAAAGCTAAAAAAATCGATCGAATCATGCGAGTCTCTGCTCCGGTATGGGCCCGCAGCTCGGCAGGCGCAAAAGTGCTCGTCTACTGCGGTTTCTGAAGGGCATCCAAAACTCAATAATTTGAGACTTTCGCTCAGTTTTAGGCTTCGGACTCAGCTGGCGCAAGAGGTGCTAAAAGGACAAAAACTTAAAATCGAGGATTTGGGTGGACGGTGCCTTTAACAATGCCGTAGCATCTACGAATCAACAAGGACATGTAGGATTATAAATATTGATGGATAAATAAGGTCGTGGTATTCTCTCCACAAGTTTTCTGGGGGTGGCTTAGCTCCAACAAGTACTCAGGGTTGAGAACGAAAAGTCTCCGCCTCACTGAGGGCCGCATGCACTAACATCCCCGCCGGGTAGGGGATCGCAGTTTAAAGGAAGGCTTCATATCCTGGGGCTCCAAATATCCGGATTTCACACTGTTTACCTATCCTAGGTATCCTTACCATCCTTCACTATGAACATGCCAAACAGAAGCGAAAAGGTGTACAAGTCCATTTTTCAGCTTTTTGTATGATTCCCTGATGATCCACGAACGTCTTTTCTTCAAAGTCATTTTTCTTTCTTTGAAGTCAGCGAAAACCAATCAAAGTTGTAGTAATTATGTAACCCCAAAGTGCGAAGCATGCTGCTGGTAAGAACAAATTATGTTCTGGAGTTATTGATTTACGATGGACCAACAGGATAGTCGGGGTTTATCGTAGAATTCAATACCTCAGTGACTCATTTCTTATCACCGACATACTCAGCACTGTTGAGCTAGATAATCAGTGCAATTTTGGAATGTTTTCAATAACTTAGAAGGAAGAAAAATGAGTTCAAAGACAATATGGTTGGCCGCCGGGATCACAAGGGATCATACAGAAAGTGAATACTTAAGCTTGTACAGCTCTTCGCTCCTGTTCATAATGTTCATGGTGAAGAATGATAGGAATGCTTACGGATGGCTAGGCAGCGTGAAAATCATACATCTGGGCCTTTAGTAATCTACCCTACCTGGTGGCATCATAGATGCCGGCAAGTTGGCACACATTGCCGAAAGATGCCAACTCCGCCGGCAGCTCGCGGAGTGATTATAGGTTTTAATTTAATAATCTTATGTAACCTTAGCACGCAATCATTTCGCACATTACATTTTGACGACGCAGACAGCCGCAAAATTGCCACCTCGCCCGCGGTCGAACCTATGTGCGTTAACTTCAAGTGCCATCACGTTAACCACTTGATCATTCGGTCAGCCATTGCTGTTTGCACCAGCAGTAGGAGGTTTGCGCTGGTAAATGGCTGCCTGTAAGAGGGATCGATACATTGCGTGAGAAACTTTGACCTGAAGGAACAGCTGAATGATATGAGCGAGAGAGGGGCGAAATCGGTGCAGACGAGATTTATAAGGGATTGCCGAAAAAGATGAAGTTCTTTATGATTCTAAGGCATTACTGAATTTTTTCCCGGTAAGAAAATTGTCGTTTTAAAAAAGAAAAACTCATATAATGAGAAAAATAGTAGTTTTTTGATGAAAAGTAGAATTTTTGATTTTTTCGTCTGACGTAAATTCTGTGATATCGCCGCAATTCGCAAACTCGCAGACGCCGTCGGCAAAGGTGGGCGTGGTAGGGGCACGTCGAGATGCCGGCAGCTCCCTCTCTCAAAAGAGCACGCTATTTCTCGTGCTCTCTGACCTGCCGGCAGCTGCCATCAAGCGGATTTCGACGAGCTGCCGACAGGTTGCCGGCAACTAGCATCGCGAAGTTGCCGGCAGCTCCTCCTGCGCTTCCAGATATTTTACTAAAGGAGGAGTTCTGGAACCGCAGACTTTTATGGAGTTTTCTACAGAGTCGAGGTCTTATCGAGAAAATTTTTTGGAATAAGGCCTGGGACGGCCTAAATTTGGGGTCTCACTTTTTGGCCACTTCACGGAAAAGGTGCCAGCGACCTGCCGACGAGACCTGCCGCCAGGTTGGGGGGGATTACTACCGGCCCTGTAGCTTCAGGATATAGAGGTTGTGTTTTAAGCTGCATCCTCTCTGGCGGGAGGCACTTGCGGCCTTAGAGGCAGCATCCAGGCAGTGTCTCGACTTCTCTTTTTTTGCCTTATCCAAGCCTCTTCATGGCGTTGGTTCCAAATATGGCAGTCGAAATGCGTGAATTCCTCACGAAACCCCTTTTTTTGAGACAATTTTGTGAGAAGCCTGGACGAGTGCTTCTATTGCAATCCTTGTCGATAGCAAGCATTAACAGGTAGATACTATGTGTTCCATCCTATTGGCCACGTAAAAGCACGTCAAGGCCTGAGGAGGGTTCGTTCAAGGCCAATGCTCTCGAACGGCCCGCCTTCTTGGACGAACTCCTCAGCCCTTGACGTGTTTTTAAGTGGTAAATAGGATGGAACACATAGTATCTACCTGTTAATGCTTGCTTTCGACAAGGATTGCAATAGAAGCACTCGTCCAGACTTCTCACAAAATTGTCTCAGAATAGGGGTTTTGTGAGGAATTCACGCATTTGGACTGCCATATTTGCAATCAGCTCCATGAAAAGGTTTGAATAAGGCAAAAAAAGAGAAGTCGAGATTCTGCCTGGACGCTGCCTTTAAGGCCTAAAGCATAGCATACCTTACGCGATTCCAGTTGCTGCGTGATCTGCTATACGGCTTACCATAATTAGTCGAAGATGCAATTTGTGCGTAGTCCAGACTTGATGCGACGATTCACAGAAGATTTGGCATTCGCCAAATCGCGACAGTGTGGCGATTTGAGGAAGTTGCGGGATGTACGCCTTAGGCCTAAGGAGTCCTTAAGGGATCATTCCACAAGTAATCTGAGAAGCAGTTTGAGGGTTGACGCCTCTGAGAAATACTTCACTTTCACAGTCTCTACACCATTGTCGTTTTAGTTTTATTGAAAATAAAGTTTAATTACTCGAGTTTGAGGCACCATACCAACCGTGTGGCACCCCCAAAAACCTGCCCCACTATTCAACCTTTCCTGCAACATAATTTTTCCATATTTTTTACATAACATCAGTGTACAACTAAAACTCTACAAATTTATTTTGTTTATGCTTGTGAGGGAAGGGTCTATAGAAGCACATTATTCTCCGCCTTGCGAAATTTTCCAATTTATTCTGCATTTTTGACATTTTGGTTTTGAAAACGATGAATTAATAGATCAAGAATCAACAAGTCTCAATGTTATTGCAGCAAGCTAGATGCTGAGAATTATTTCAAGTTTTATTTTTGCACCTGAAAATTTTAGATATAAGAAAGTTCGTTCGGGTTTGGAGGCACACACAAAAAGGTGATCTTTCTGCTAAAGTAAAAGCATTTAAAGCGGCATCTCGAAAGATTGTTCTTGCTTGACTTCATTTTGGAACTTTTATTACGTTGTCCCATAAGCCTTTTCATTTTTGAGTTTGCGCTGTGACAAGTCGTGCATTCTCATTCTGAATAGGCAAGGGGATACCATTCGATAAAGCAAAGCTCTAGAACAATGATGTCTATGCTTTTGCACTAGCTTCGATCCACCTCATTGAAAATCTAAAAAGTTTTTGTATGCCCAAAAAACTGAAGATTTTTATATCTTTGCTCAAAAACGTCCCACAAATTTCTCACTCGCTCACGCATATACACTTCACATCAGACCCTCATATGTGCTGTTGCCGTATTTTTTCATTGGCTAGAAATCAAGAAAACGAAAAATTCCACGTTTTTACCAAAGTGATGCTGTGCTGTTCTTTAACAGTTGTACTACAAGCCTTTAAAAGTACAACCCTAAATTTTTAGCTCTCTAAGAGCTTTAGTTTCCGAGAAATATCTCATTTAGCTTTTCTTTCGGGCTTTTTACCCTTAACCTAGGCATTTCTCGGTGATAGAGCTCATAGATTTAGATTTAGATTATTTGCTCTCATATTATTACAATACGTGGCACCCAAACAAATTGATCCATTCTTTCAACGTGAGTAATCTTGCTACTCTTCGCCAGTTGCAAGGCCAAGCTTCTTTTGAAATTCATCTCTCCATCTCATCCTCGGTCGTCCTACTGGACGCTGTTGAAATGGTCGCCATTCCAATAGTTCTCTTGACCATTTTATCTCATTTCTGTTGGCGAGTTTCCAAGCATAAATCCATTTCCTTTCCTTCGCGCAAGTCGCTAAATCTTTCACTTTGGTGACGCCACGTAACCATGAATTCGTCTTCTTGTCTATTAGGCGACTGCCAACCATTCTCCGTTCTATATGTCTTCCAGCAGCACTAAGCTGTTTCTCCATCTTCTTCGTCATTGTCCATGTTTCCGCACCGTATAGAATCGCAGGAAGAATACATGAATCAAACAATTTCTGCTTCCACTTCATTAGCGCTCTCTTCGATGTCAGGAAATCCTTACATTGGTTGAAATTTGCCATCCAGCATGTATACGTCTTGACATCTCTTTGTTATTATCACGGGGAAGTGAAATAGACTGTCCAAGATGAATATAAGATTCCACTTGTTCGATGGTTCTCCTCCCAAACTGATTGTTACTGGCGTACGTGCAAGCACTTTGGTTTTCAAAGGATTGATCTTGGGACCGCTCTTGCGTGAATGAATATCCAGGTTGTTTATCATCTCTTGTAATTCATCTCCACTTTTTGCAAACAAGACGACGTCATCAGCAAAACGAAGATTCGTGAGCTGATTACCATTTATGTAATAACCATAGTTGTTCCAGCTTATTTTTCGAAAAACGTGTTCAAGTGTGGCTGTGAACAGCTTTGGTGAAAGTGGATCTCCTTGTCTCACTCCTCGCTCAATATTTATTGAAACTGACCTTTACCGACCTTTACGGAAGATTTGAAGCTTGTATAGATTTGACGAAGAAAAGTGATAAGCTGCCAGTGAACTCCTTGTTCTTCAAGAGCAGTCTAAAGTGCATTCAGTTCAACGGTGTCAAATGCTTTTTCGCAATCTACAAATACCATGAAAAATGGCAAATTGTACTCACTTGTGCGTTCAATCTGTTCATTGATGGCATAGATATGATCAACCGTTGAATAATTTTTCCAGAAAGCTGCTTGTTCCCGTGGTTGCTCTTGGTCGAGGATTCTTTCTGATTGATTGATGACTTTGGCAAGCAACTTATAGAGAACAGGAAGCAAAGAGATTGGGCGGTAGTTGCGTATTTAACCGGATTTCCTTTTTTGTAGAGTAAGATAGTTACTGTATCTGCCATCTTCGCTGGCACCTTGCCGGAGTGGAGACACTGATTGAATAGCTGTGTAATCAAGGAAATAAGCTGTTCTCCTCCTTGCTTAATCATCTCTACGGTGATGTAATCGTGTCCAGGTAACTTGCCTGCTTTCATCGAATTCAGTGCCATAGTTATTTCATCTTGCAAAAACGGATGGCAGGTTTCTTGTGAGTTGTGCGGAGTATACAGGGTGTCCCAAAAAATGTGAACACTGTTTGATCGTTAATAACTCCCTTGCTTTCATGTCTTTCACCGAGCTTGAGGCACCATTCTGTGAAGCAAGGTTCAACTTAGATTTGTAGTATGGAGCGAATCACCGGTCGCTGCTCGTTACTGTAGGATTACGGTATGAACTTCTAACATGTGGATCTATTGTGAAAAATGCCATTTGACAAATTTTTTTTTCAAAAAATCTGAAAAATCGCATACTAGGGTTTTCGCGCACGCTGATTCCATTACACAACTTTTTATAAGTGTTTTAAGCTTCTTTTACGGTGTAATCACCTTCCTGACAAATGCTGGGAATTCGGTTATTACGGTTTACCTGGGATAACTTTGGAAAGAAGCATCACAGTAAAGTGGAAATTTTATATTCGAAATCAGCGTCTCCCATTACCTTAGTATAAGAATTTTTGGCTTGTTTGGCTTTGTTCCGAGTCAGAATATAGCCTCCAATGGCCTAAAATCCTTGTCGAAGTTTGTACCGTAATCCTGCAGTAATGAAGAGCGATCGACGATTCCCTCCATACTGTAAATCTAAGCTGAACCTCGCTCTATAGAATGGTGCATCAAGCTCGGCAAAAGACATGAAGGCAAGAGAGTTATTAACGATCAAACAGTGTTCACATTTTTTTGGGACACCCTGTATAATATATCGACAGCTTGAGTATATAGACTTTCAAAATAAGAACCAGCTATCCTGCAGATCTCTGACTTCGTGCAAAACATCTTTCCTTTTTCATCTTGTATTCGAAAGAAATGGTGATATCTGTAAGATAGTTCTCCCTTGACTTTCTTCAAGCTACTGATGACCGCATGGCTTCCTCTAATCGTCTGCGATGATGAGAGCGTATATCATCTTTTATCATTCTTCTCAATAATTTACTAATACAAGAGCTCATAAAGAGTAAAAATTTACGGCCGTACTTCTAAAAGCTTATAGTATACAACTGTTAGCGTAAGAACAACACTACATCACTTTGGTAAAAACATGGAAATTTTCGCTTTCTAGCCAATAAAAAAAATACGGCAACAGCATAAGAGTGTCTGATGTGAATTGTATATGCATGACCGAGTGAGAAATTTGTAGGACTTTTTTGAACGAAGATATAAAGAATTTTCAATTTTTTGAGCGCCCGAAACCTTTTAGATTTTGCTTCATTTGAGGTCTAGAGAGCTGCAACGATTGATTCCATTTTGGCTATTAATTTATTTTTTGAACTTGAGGTGGATCGAAGCTATGCAAAAGCATAGACGTCATGTTATAAAGCTTGCTTTGCTCTTAATGGTATCCTGGTGCCTGCTCAGAATGAGAAGTGCACGACTTGTTACAGCGCAGACTCAAAAATGAGACTTATGGGACAACCTAATAGTTGAAATAACGATAAACTTGAATGATTAGCGGTTTCTTCGAAGAAATAGTAAATTTAAGGAGCGGGTCTTTTTTGAGAACATCCGATATGTTTTCAAAAGTATAATGGCTATTTGCGCTTCAACCTTCAGTCGAACAGGTGACAACCACGATCCGCTCTATCTCAACAATTTCAATTTGTGCGGATTGATTTCAGAGCGGATTGTTCTGCAGTCGTTTCTGCTTCAGAACTTGGCGCTGTGTTCTGCGCACACCATGAAGTTTTATCAGCAGGTCGAGACTGTTATCAGAAGAATTTTCGGACGACCTATTTTGCGTTTACCAAATTGTTCACTGAATTAATGTTGAGTCCTTCACATTCCCAATTCAGGGGTTATTTGAGATCTGAAAGGAGTCGTTGAAGAACAAAGGTAAAATATTTATCTATCTTACAAAGATTATCTTATGTTACTTTGCAGGTAAAATCGATTTTCACTTATTCCGGCTGTACGAGAAGCGATTTCGGTGTTCTTTTGGTGACAATCTTTCCATCGTTTGACCTCTAGTCTGGTACGTGAGTATTTACAGATCGAAAAGCAGGCTGTTACAAAGTTGAAAGTCCTTGAATCAAATGTAAACACTCAGTCCTTTAGAGTATTTACCGTAAATATGGCTCAAAAAAAGAGTGACACTTGTGAAAATGTGAAAGTCTGATTGCCTTGGGTGCTTGAGATCTCAAGATTTTATATCACTTAGCGACTGTTCGGCCTTCATATCTTTCTAACACCAAACACCGACACTGCTCTAAACACGTGACAACACGGATCTTATGTGTTTCAGAAAGAGGGCACAACTTTGAAGCGTGAATTTTTGAAAAGTGGAGTCTCTTGTCTTCTTATCAGTCATCCATGACGAACGCTCCAACAGTTTCCGCTTCACAAACCTCTGCTGTCATAACCCATTCATCCGCCCTTCTAGATGATACTTCGAAAACCATGGTTAGTACCCATTATAGCGGTTGTATGCGCTTTAATCGCCATGCTCAGCGGGTGAGTAACAATTATTATCCTTGAAAATTTTTACTTGGCGTTGGATGATTTGTAAAAACAAAAGCTTCCAGGTATATCATTGGAGTTGCCGTTGATCATTATCCTCCTCTGCTCCCGTTTATAAGGTTATAGCCTCTTTTTGAGAATGGCATTTTCAACAACCTTTTTTAGTGATGGTGGTGGTCGCGTTCCAGAAGCTTCCGTCTTTGGACAATTTCTTAACACAGCTGCCTTCCTTTGTAAATTCTTCACCAAAATTCTGGTTTCATCCGTTTAAGTTAGACACTTTCAGATATTTTCACAATTTACTTGATATATCTGGAGACTGTCGAATATTATGGTCATTGTATGAAATGGAAAAGGACTCGATGGTGGAAAGTCTCGATATCATTACTGTTCCTAGGGATTGCGTGTGCATACGGTATGACCATTGTAGGAAATTTTCGGGTGCGTCATAGTTGATTGTTAGAAAGCTTATTAATTGCGAAATAGCATTCAGTACACTGAAATCAAGACTGTCCACATGATAGGAGCAATGCTAACTTTTGTTGGTATGGTTATATACGGATGGGGACAGGTAATCACTGGGTAAGCGTTCTCGTTACCATCAAATCTGGATTATCATAATTAGTTTCATTTTTAATCTATGTCGGACGTAACAAAAGACTTCTAAAGCACTGAATTATTCTATTTAATACATGAAGATTGATCGCTTTACAGCATAGCAGACTTAAGAACATTAAGATGTTTTAGAAATTCTAGGTTTTGAAAAAACACCCTTTGAAATTGTGTCAGTCACAAAATTCCAAACAACAGAAAAATATGATCGTGATGAATGTGCTTTCACCAGCTGTTACTTAGAGCAAAGAAGACAAATCTAGTTCAATTTGCTCACACGAAATCTCCAAGGTTTGAGCTATGGAATTCTATAAATATCATCTGCTAAAAATGTTTTTGAAGGTAAGTTAATGAGGTGTGGCAGAAAAGCCCAGAAAAGCTGTGGCAGCCACACTCCATTAACTATGAAAACATTTTTGGCGAGTGATATCTATATGATTTGATAGCTCAAACCTTGTAGATTTCGTATGGGCCAATTGAACTCGATTCGTCTTCTTTCCTTTGAGTAACAGTTGGTGAAAGCACACTGAAAGCGAAAAATGGAAAAAAACAAGATTTTGGTTTGATTCTTTTTCTCAGTTTGGACGTTTTTTGGAGACGTTTCTGGAGTGGAATATCTGGTTGGGCAAAGAAGGATTGCTATGGACTTTGTAAGAGTGCTGAAAAATGTAGTCAATTTATTTTTGAAATAAAGTTAATCATGTTCGAAAATGACCACCTAGCTAGGTGGTCCAGAATCTGAAAAAAAAAAGAATCCACCCAAACTTCGTCAATAGGGGTTGTTTGACATATTAATTATGAATGCACTAGCTGGCTTACCCGGCTCCGCCCTGCCCTGTCAAAACACTATGATAAAGATATGATATGCTTTCTTCCCTATCCCTGTACAACCTTTCCCTGTGCCCCGTCTACATGACAATTCACTATTCCCGCTGTTTGTAATCAGCATGCTCGATTCCCCCCCCCCGTGCCAACCCCCAGTTCCGTAGCTCAAACTTTGCAAAAAAAAACGATAAATTGACAAAAGTAGCAGATAATTCTAAAACTAATATAACATTCGTAATCAGCATGCATGGCTACCCCCTCTCCTTGTGCCAACTCCCAGCCCCGTAGCCCAAACTTTGCAAAAAAATCGATAAAATCGTTAAAAGTAATGGGCATTTTAACAACTGATGTGATATTCGTAATCAGCATGCTCGATTACCTCTCTGTGCATGCAAACTCCCAGCCCCGCAGGTCAGACTTTACTAAAATTCGTTCAAAAACGATAGAATCGATATCCATAGGTGACGAAAAGTAGCCTATGACACCCGCCCGGCCCAGAAGTGTGTTGCAAAGTTTAATCTGGATCGGTCCAGAAATAAAACTTTCTACTCGGAACATACGTACACACATACATACAGACAGACAGACATATAAGCTTCACATATAAGATTAGTCCCCATGCTTCTTAGAGCCTCTTTAGCGTGCTACGGGAGGTATGTAATGACGAGTCAAGATTCATGTGCTTTATATTGCATGATGGGGTTATCTAGCAAACTGCTTACGAGTTTTATGTTATCACTATTATCAGTATTATTCGATTACGACCCCTTCCCGTGTTGACTCCTCAATATGGCCCCCCAGGTGTACCACACCCTACCTTGACCCTGTTTACAAACTCTTATAGAAATGAAAAGAAGAGTATTCAAATTGCAGGGCAGGATTTTTACTATCCTTTCACAAACAGACTTCATTCAAGAACTCAACTACATTCTATCCACTTTCATTACTATTCTTGCAATACGTTAATGCTATAACAGGTGACATATATAAATTGATGGTTAGCGTAAACGCCATAATTGGCTTCGCGAGGCCTAGCTTTACAAAGGATAGACAACAGTGATAACCAACAAAAAAATGCCAAATTTTTTAAAGAAACTTGGCTGACTTGCGGCATGCGTGAAAAACTTCAGAGAAGACTACCCTTGTAAGATGGAATTGAAAACTTCTCTCTTTTCTAAACACTGCTTTTTGAAAGACTTGTTGATATTTAATAGGTGGGAGCAACGTATTCCAAAGCTGATGGAAGGATTTTCTATTCTCTAGAGCATGAAGAATTGACAAGCTGAAACTCGATTTTCAGGTACATCTTACAGCCAAGTATGGCGCCTAAGCTGCTACGGCACTTTCGGTTATTGATCATAATCCTTACAACCTGCTGTTTGATACTGCGCAAGTTTTTTTATCCTTACTTTCATTTATGTGTCATTGTGCCTTCATTATCAATCTGCGTCTCGATAAAACGTTGATATAGTGAGGATATATAATGAGCTTAATTTGACTGAGAAGGGCTTATTTCGTGACGTTATGCGACCGTTAATGTAATCTTTCAAAACCCCAACAACCTCTGCCAAAATACTTGTTTTATTAATTAATATTCCAAAAAAGTTTATCTGAAGTAGAGAGACAACTGCAGAGAAACTTTACTATTTTATTAGTAAGCACATTTGCAAGAAAATTCTTCTTTTGTATCGCAGGTGTATGCATTTTATTTCTTCTACTTGCCTCGTTCCAGTGAAATGTGTTAAAGGTCATAAGTTTTATCAGAGAAAGTTATTCTATTAGGTTGGAAAGAAAAAATGTCGCTTTTTGGGTTTCTTCAGCTAGATAGTATTTCGCAGGCTAGCGAATGCCCAAATCCAAACATTATGATTGAAGTCACAAAGGTTTGTGGCACACAGCTGCGTGAATGGGAGGAGCCAGGACTATCAGGGGCGGGGAATGTCATTTTTCGTTTTTCAATTTGTTTTAATTTTTAGTGGCGGAAAAATATAGCAACTTCACATGTATTAGGTTGTCCCATAAGTCTTTTCATACCTGACTTTTCAACGACATAAACCAGTTCTTCTTGAACTCCTGATAAATTGCAGGGTACCATTCGACAGAACAAAGTAAGCTCTACAAGATGGCGTTCAAAAGTTCGCACCAAGTCCAACCCGCAACATGCTCTAAACCAAAATAAAAAATTTTCCCGAATTTCCGAAAAAACGAAAATCATCATATCTCAGTTCAAAACAGCTCTGCAAATTTCCTATTTTTTCATGCATACACTCTCCTCATCGGATATTTTTAAATGCACTTGCTGCATTTTTCTGATGGCTAGAAACCAAGAAAAAATAATGCGCTTAATTTTCAAACTTTGCCTGTATCACTTCTGTATTCCCCGCAAGTAGGTGATTATATATCTTATTCGCTCAGAATTACTGCCAAAAATTTGCCGCCTACTAGGTGCTGTAGTTCCTGAGAAAATTCGAATTGAAGGTCCGAATATGAAAAAACTTTTGGGACAACCTAATAGTTATGTTTATGTGTCTGCTACGTGCAGGAGCAAGTAAGAGGTTCAGTGATTTTTTTTTGAAGATCCGATTTTTGGCACTACAAGTTGTTTTTATGTTTTGACTTTGAACTTTACATAAACCACGACTTCAACCAGTGTTTAGAATATATCTTGTAGAGTTTACTTTGTTTTATCGAATGATACTCCTCACATATTTTTTCGAATTCGTCCTGTTGCTTTGCTGTAAAAACGACATTCTTATCTTTCCACCCTAATATTGTGAAAACCCATCGGTTTTGCACGTAATCATAACTCATGAGTCCACTATTCACCGAGGATGGGCGTGCATATAGACGTTAGAATTTGCGGCATTTATAATTATGAGTATACCCATAATCTAACAGTGATATAATAAGTAAGGAATTTTTTGAACCTCAAAAGACCCAAAAAGAAAAATTAAGTCAGAAACTTTTTTCGAATTAAGAAAAATTCATCCTTACAATACACAATACTGCAAATTTTCACAAAAGCACAAAAATCCACACAACTAATTCATGCGCCTTAGTCAATAGAATGATACAGTTAGGATTTATATGCAATGAATCTTCACTCTTCAGATCTTCTGGCTGAAGTTTCGCCTGTTTTTATACCACCTGGTGCCGGAAAGTATCCTGGAGGAAATGAAATTAACAGGACTAGTGATTCTCCGGTAATGGCAACTCAGCTCCATTCTAATATATAGAACCATCATTCGCACATTCAGTTCTAGTCCAATATAAAAAATTTTGCAGTTCTTCCGTACATTCATAATAGCCACAAGTGGAGAATGGGCAATGGTGTTACTAATGCAGCTATTCGTTTTAACATACGTCAACGAGCTACGTTATGCGGAGTATTATTCATCTCGAGTGACTAACCACGTCTTATCTTTGGAATAAGTGCTACAGTGCTGCTTATTGTTAGATTACGTTTTTGTGAGCTTCATCTTCCTTAATTATTGCTGCATACTTGCACTCATACATAATCTTACGATTCAGGAACACAGCAGAACAATAATTTTGTGTATCTTTTGTACTTTGCGGGTTTATTACGTATACTTGCAGCTAGTAATATTGTTCGATTCAGTGCCACATTTCGTGATATTGGAATAATTTTGCTCAAAGATAATAAATGGTGATGAAGATGTTTAAGTGTATCCCTTATTTGTTAAAGGCAGCGGCTCGGCAGATTCTCGACTTGAAGTTTTTTTGCTTACCTGGGGTAATTCGAGACGCTGATTCCGAAAATCCACCTTGAATAGCTCGAAAATGGCAAAAAACACCATTTTCCAAGGTCATTTTGAATTTGGACGAGTGGAGCACGTTCCGCCATGGTTAGAGACGCAGAATCGTTGCGGGTCCTCGCAATTATAACATTGCGGTATGCCTTCTCTGACGGGTCAAGGAGAATGGCAAGCTTGTCCGCGCGTATTAGAATGGCTTGCGCGTAACGGATTTTTCTAGACAAGGGCAGCATGCTGTGCGCTCGAAGCTCTATTTTCATGTTTGAGCTGCAAGCAAACTTCCATGTCAAAATTTCGGGAGGTTCGGTTTTGGCAAGCTGCTGCCTTTGACTTTAAGTATGCAGGCAACTTTATAATGTCGTAGAGATTTATTTCCCTCACTTTGATTCATTTTTTCCGCTGCAGGTTGTCTCGATGCCACCCTGCATAAATACTCAAAAGTATGTTTTAATTTTCTGCAAGTTGGGGCACTTTGTTTTTTCCTGCTGCAAATCCTTGACGAGCCAAGTGCTTGAGTTTCCAAAGGATACGTGAGGTGCAGCCAGGGGATTTAACATATCTGTCGGGCAGTTTTCATAGCTACTGCAGTTTGCAAAAATTCGCTGTTTGTAAAGCGAACAAAGCAAATCATTAGAAAATGGTTTCTGACGTAAAATTTTTGTCTAATATGGACGTGGTCCATAGTTCTGGTACTTGAGTGAAAATTAAGATTAGATGAATACGCATGTATAGAGCACGAGCTAAGTTGCTTCACTTCCTCACTGCAGCACTCCGATGGGCTCAAGTAGCAAATAATGGATTTCGCATTTGTTTTGAATCAGCTTCAATCAGGCTTGAACAGAAGCTAAACATGAACATTTATTAGGCACAAAAGCCAAAGAAGCGATATGATTAAAAATATATATAAACCAAGTGTAGTTCTTGTTTCTACTCATTTGAATCTACACAAGTCTTTATAAAGGTTAACATATGGAAAACAAGACGTCTTGAGCAGTGAAAATAAATATAATAAAAATAAATAAAAGTTGAGCGTATGAGGGCACAACGTGGGTATAATGAGTACAATAAATACTGAAAGCAGTAATTACAATCACAGTCAAGTCTAGGTTCCAGAATATTGAATTCAAACTCAGGAATCTTTGCACTAAACAGCTGTCAAATTAAGGAAGTGGAAGTTGATTTTCAATAAATTTCTGGAGATAAGAGTGCGTCAATTCAATAAATCAAGAAATCAGCTCTCTCCATTTCATGATGTTGAAATCACTTCCACATGAGAAAAATATTAAGGGAACTGCTAGCGCAATAAATTGTCTTGAATATCAAAAAGGTTTTGGTAATGCAAGACAAAAGAATAGATAACAGAATTTGGATCACACTACGTAAAAAGTGAGGTTGCTTTCATGATTTGGAGTTTGTTTATAGCGAAAGACAAACATTAAATAGTTAAGAAAAGGAATCATATGTCGAAAATCTGTGTGAAGGTAGTGCGATCACTATTACTTTCTCAAATTACACTACCCTGCTTTTAGAGAAAATGAGTCAAATGAACTTAAAGATGTGACGGTTTACAGTGACCGCATGTTAGCGGACAATAGCTTTTCATTACGAAGAAGAACGATGCGCGCTGGCAGTACTGTTGGAAGTGTGGACAATCCGCAAAATGGTCGTGACACTCTGAAAATGAACAGTTAACCTCAAAAATTGCTGAGAAAAGGAGATTAGAGTTGATTTTGCAAAAACTGCCAGAAACTGTAGTTTTAGATGAGAGTTTTATCTAATAATATTGGTGTAAGCCACAACCAGATGCCATAAGTTTCTTCCATGTATTATTTACTTATCTTGTCTTTCCTTACTATCATTAATGATGTTCCTTTCTCATTCATCGTATTCTCGAATCCAAAGAGTCAAAATGTCGTTAAGGTATGCGATTCTTACCAGCTTTTAAGAAGGCGAACTCCATAACCTGCACTTTTCGGGAAATGACTTAAGTAAGAAAGTGATGGAAACAAAGTAAACATCAGGGTGTTCTAACATAAAAATTCTCTTTCGTTACCATTATCAATTCATGATGCATTATCACTGCTTCCCTTCTTAATTTTTCTCGAACTTTCTAGCGCCAATAAGAAATACTACAAGACTTATTGTTAGCCCAAACGTTCCTCCTTTGCAAATAATAGTAGGTTGGATAATAAATAAATTCGTTTTGAAACGCAAATTAGAAGCTCCACAAAAACTCAAGTACCGTTCTTTGACTGTGACCTTTTGTGAGGGGTCGCTTCACTTTTACTATCACATACTCGTTATATAGACTACTTAGATGTGACGAGAGATAGTTATGAGCCTTCCAAAAAAACTTTTTTGACTTTCCAAGTTTTGCACTCAATTTCTAGTAAGTGCCAAAGACTAATTTGGTAGCTGATTAAATACAACCATTGGCTACATGGCAAACCACAGCGGAGGCTGTGATGTGCTATTTGTGAATTTCTGCAGCTAAAAAGTGAGTTTCCAGGTATCTGCGCGTGCAAGTCAGTTTTGGAGCAATTTAAATCGCTTGAATTTGACCATCGATGGCAACGCAAATGATAAGTATATCAAAATCGTAAGCGTGCATAACATTCGTGCACTTTACATCCAATTTCACTTTGCTGGAGCATGAGACTTCGGGATTTCGACGAAAAAAACTGACTTCTTTGCCTATCTCACTCTTTCGCAATAAAAACAATAATCTTTGAAGGCAGCGTCCACCCAGAATTTGGCCCCCTATGTTTCGCCCTATAACAGTCCGAACTTCAAACTCTCCAAAATTCGCAGAAAACCCATTCCTAGGGACCCTGCCTTGAGGGCGCGGACGAGTTTCGAATCGCTCGTTCCCGTTGCCAGGCCAGCGGGAAGGAGCTGCAACTGCATGGGTGCAGTTGCATTGTAGTGTGCAGTGTGCAGCTTCTGCTCACTACCATGTAAATACGTGTCGGGAGGCAGTCCCTCGCTGGGTGGAGTCTGATCAGACTCCACCCAGCCAGGGACTTCCAGGCCACTTATCTCCATTCAGAGACAACGTTAGAAGACCGGACCAACGCAATGCCCCTTTTCTGGGGGCCTACATTCAGCATCGACACTGATCGGAGGGAATTAGGTTTAGCCTGGACACTGCCTTTATGCAAACAAAGCAGATCACGATTCTGCTTAATTTACTTTTTCTAATAGTATAACACACTTATGCACAATTTTATCCGTGACATTTTTTAAAACCTTCCAAAACGACCGAAATTATTTTTTAGCCAGCCTAGTAGTTCTATGTGATTTTCGATGATGAATCAAATTGTACTTACTATCTTTAGGAGGACCAACACCTTGCCCAGATTTCGATATAGATTTTGGTATGTTCTTCGGCACAGCAGGGCAACGATATAGTTTGTTGATCTGTAAAGCATGATTAATCAAAAATAGAAGTGAGTACTGCGAAGAAAGAACATTCAGCGATTGTGAGGAGGAATAGATGACAAAAGAGTCTAACAGATACTGAACCCATGTAAGCCTATGATCTTTTATTGTACTTTCAAAGAGCTGTTTGAAGCAACATTCCAGAAAACTTTTCCCGAAGTGTATCATTTGAAGCAGCATTTCAGAAAACTTGTTCTGAGTTCTGCGAGTCTCTAATTTCAGCTAGCATTTCGTGTGAAACTTTTAAATAAAAAATCCCGAGTCTACCAGTTGCTAGAAATCTTCATTGAAACTTTTAGTTTTAGTTTACTCTACTCTTGCTATAATCTTATATATAAAGCTGAATGTCTGTTTGTCTGTCTGTATGTCTGTCTGTCTGTCTGTATGTGTACGTATGTTCCGAATAGAAAATTCCATTTCTGAACCGATCGGGACCAAACTTGGCACACATACACTTCGGGCCCCGGCGGGTGTCATAGGCTACTTTTCGTTATCGATCGATGTCGATTTTATCGATTTTTTGCAAAATTTGAGCTACGGGGCTGGGAGTTGGCAGAGGGGTGTAATCGAGCATGCTGATCACCCCCGTGGGGGAAAAAATCGACATCGGTCGATAACGAAAAGTGAACTGTGACACCCGCCGGGGCTCGAAGGGTATGTGTGCCAAGTTTGGTCCGGATCGGTTAAGAAATGGAATTTTCTATTCGGAACATACGGCGGAGCCGGGTAAGCCAGCTAGTTGTACGATAAATACAGGGTGTCCAAAAAGTAAGTACACACTTTTCAACCGTTAATATCTTTCTTCCCACTTCGTCTTTTTCCGCCATTTAAGTACCATTCTGTAGAGGAGGCTTCAACTTAGATATACTGTATCGAGCGAATCAATCAATCGTTCTCGATTACTGTAGGATTACTGTAGGAACCACGACAAGGATTTTAGGCCATTGAAAGCCATCTGCCTCGGAACAAAACCAGACAAGCCAAGAACTCTTGTACTATGATAATGGAAGCCGCTGATTTCGAATATGAAGTTTCCACTTTACTGTGATGCTTCTTTCCAAGGTTATCCCAGGTAAACCGTAACAACTATTTCCAGCACTTGTCAGAAATGTGATTACACTGTCAAAAAAGCTGAAAACACTAGTAGAACGTTGTGTAGTGGAATCAGCGTGCGCAAAAACCCTAGTACACGATTCTTCAGATTTTTTGAGAAAAATTTTGTCAGATGACATATTTCACAATGGTTCCACATGCTGGAAGTTCATACCGTAATCCTACACTAACGAAGAGCGATCGGTGATTTGTTCGATACTGCGTATCTAAGTTAAAGCCTCCTCTACAGAAAGGTACTTGAATGGTGGGAAAAGACCCATTGGGTAGAGAGATATTAACGGTTGAAAAGTGTGTACTTACTTTTGGGGCACCCTGTACTGATCGAATTCTTTTACTGAAAAATGACAGAAAATTGAAAAATTCATTTTTCATTTTTTGATTTTGTTCCAAAAATCGACTATCAACAAGCTCAGACAATTTACCGGAAGGTTTGCAGGACCAGCAATGTTGCAGAGGTTCCGCAGGATTTTGTTTACTATTACAAAAGAAAAGGATGAAAATGGGAACTTCCAAAAGATTTTCAGGTCAGACTGGTTGAAAAAACCGCAAGACTTTTTACAAGATGCTGTGAACTCTGCCAAATCACTACTTCCTCCGCTTTTTATTCAATCCCTTCAGAACAAAAATAGCTTGTCTATGTGTTTTTTATTTGATTTTCATACTATCACAAAAAGCTTTCTTTGCCACGGCAGGTTACAATTTGCTGGGCCTTTTTCTATGGATACGCCGTCCAGAGGCCCGAAAGTGAGTCAATCACCTTCATGAAACGCATTATGCCATCAAATATCCTAAAGGTTAACCAATAGCTACTTGACTGTCCAAATCAGTTGGACTGTTTATTGTTACCGTACACTGTAGGCGTTCTATTGTGCTCTTCTCTGGAAATCTTGGTAGGTCAATCCAGTCTGGGCCAGACTGCGATTGCATTGCAGGAGTCAAACGTACGAGTTGGACGACGGTTGATGGCATGCATAATGCGTCTAATGAAGGTGATTGACTCACTTTCACGCCTCTGGAGATGGCGTATCCGCCGAAAGTTAGGCACTATAAATTGTTGCTACGGTGCGTTTCATAACTATACGACACCCTTAACATTTGGGATTTCCGGATTTACAGAAGAGATTGAGTACTCCAGTCAGTGCCTGTGTGATCCGCATATGGTAATGAATAAATTGACATCTCAATCGATATGTCTACTCACTTGCTTTTCTATATGTAGAGACATGTCTGTTTTTCCACTGTTTCATAAGTATACGACACTTTTGAACAATGCACATTTTGCAAGGAAAAGAACACGCAAAACGTGGTTTTCATAACTAATCGGGCTCAGGGCTCTTTTACCACTTCATCAAGTCTATTGGAGGCGCTTCTAACAAATTCAAGCATGTCTTCGGTTCAGTGTTGTCACATGTGTCCATAACGGACCGCTCCAACTTTTTCCATGGCTCATACTGTTTGCATCCGCTCAATACGCTGTTCAAGGTAATCTCCAGAGATTTTCTAAAGGATTCAAGACAGGACAGTATGGTCACCTTTACAGAAGCTGCTCGCGACGCTAGCGGAGAACGGCAGTAAGTGACTAGCGTGCATGTCCATGCGTTATGCTGCTGCGAAACGTAGTGCTGTCACCGGCGCTTGTGGAAGTAGAAAAGTTGACCTTGCAGTACTTCTTGGTAACCTATGCGCAAATTTTCTCATCGAATTTCAGGCTTTTGAACCACGCAAAGTGCTCCCACATTATAGAAGAGCATCCGCTAAAGTTTCTCTTGGTAAAATGATGTGGGCTTTAATCAACTCTGGCCAGTCGGTCCTTTACCCGTTCAGACTAAATTTTTCCATCATATTACACCACCAAATCACTGGCTCATAATTTCTGTCATCTTCTGCATCTTTTCAACAAAGCGCCTGTAACAGTACTACGTTTCGCAGCAGCACAACGCATATGAACATGCACGCTGGTTACTTACTGCCATTCTTTGCTAGCATCGCGAGCAGCTTCTGTAAAGGTGACCATACTGTCCTGTCTGAATCCTTTAGAAAATCTCGGGAGATTACCTTGCAGCGTAATGAGCGGATGCAAACAGTATGAGCCATGGAAAAAATTGGAGCAGTCCATTATTGACGCATGTGACAATATTGAACCGAAGATATGCTTGAATTTGTTAGAAGCGCCTCCAATAGACTTGATGAAGTGGTAAAAGAGCCCGGTAGCCCGATTAGTTATGAAAACCACGTTTTGCGTGTTCTTTTCCTTGCAAAATGTGCATTGTTCAAAAGTGTCGTATACTTATGAAACAGTGGAAAAACAGACATGTCTCTACATATAGAAAAGCAAGTGAGTAGACATATTGATTGAGATGTCATTTTATTCATTACCATACGTGGACCACACAGGCACCGACTACAGTACTCAATCTCTTCTGTAAATCCGGAAATCCCAAATGTTAAGGGGTGTCGTGTAGTTATGAAACGCACTGTATAAAACCTGTCGTAGCAAAGAGAAAACAGCAAAATCCATCAATCGTACCAAGGTTCAAAAAAGGGAACTTCTGAGAAATCTTTCGTTTCTGAGCTCAAGGCCTAACGCTCAGTAATCCATGCCTATATGCATAATTCGGCGCCTAATCCCTTTCCCTAGCACGCGTAATTCGGCATCTCGTCACCTGAAAGCCGCGCAGCGTTGTTTGCTCGGCGTTCAAGGGCGAAGCGCACACTTGCTCGCTGTCCCTGCGTCCCCGAGACAACGGACCATTTTCGACTGTGGACAGGCCCAAAAACAGTGAGCTCAAGTGAACCGGTCCATAATCTGTCCAACCGGGTAATCCATGGTTTGGGGATCGATTTTAAGAGCGATATCGATTGAATTCGACTTACTTTGACGATGTCCAGTTGAGATAGGTCGGTGGCACTGCCGATAATGTCCGTAAACCCTTCTTCAACTGTTTCGATGGTGTTTCGCCCATTTCGAGAGAATGCCGTCGAGTCGTAATGCATAATGGATCGATAATCGTATTTTTCTCCTTGAGTATCCTGGAAAGAGTAATTTCAAATTGTCACGATAAAAGTAGGTGGGGCAGGGAAGGGGGATGGAAGCAAGCTGCCCACCTGCAGAGCCGCGGAGATTTTGTCAAACTGTGACTTCATTCCGGGTAGGATGTTCTCCCAAAGGATGTTTATGTGTTCGTCGCGATCTGTACAATTCCCACAACAGTAAAAAATCAAAAAGTTTTTATTCTCCTTTTGAAATTCAAAAATGATTAGATACATATACTCAAAACATAGCATAACATTCTAAACGGTAAAACTTCAAATATTGTAATAGAAACCGTAAAATGATGGCACTATACAACCAGAATATATTCTTACCTGCTCGACTATGTTCGTGCCAAAATCCAACAGAATGCATTAGCTCATGAACGATAATCTCATGAAATAGGCATCCTCTACCCAGTGAAATTTCTTGTTTACCGCCAGTTTTTCCAACTTGGGAATAGCATCTAAAACAGGCGTAGCTTTTTTTTCAAATTAAGCCTTAAAAACTGAAATAAAAACTTACCCGAATCCTTTCACAATATTCAAGAAATCTTTTTCACCGTTTCTCCTCTGGAATCGAATGCAAGTGTTCTTATGATAGCTAGCGAAGGCTTGCTCCAATAGTTTCGTTTCGTAATCAGCTAGAAAACTGGTTCTTACTACGTAAGAATTTTCTTATAGGACCAAAAAAAAATTCAGAGGTATATGTAGGAAAGCAAGATAATTATTTCTACATTCAACAAAATTGAGACGTTCAGAGTACAAAGTATGTACTAAGCAGAATAAAGTCTAGAATTAAGAAAAGATAGCCCAGCAAATTTCCTCAAAAACTGCTAAGAAAACAATCTTAAAGTCTGTCACCATCGCAGAGCTCGACCAGAACAATGTAAATCGAAAATTTTTCAAGCATGAGATTTCGCCTTCAATAAAAAAAATGGATTATTTAACAAACAGTAAAATGATTTTTCGTTCGAATTAAAATTCGTTTGAATAATAAATATGAATGATAAAGAAAAATTATACCCACTGAAACTCACGTACAGAATGCTGGGTCCATTTCGTAGGGAATAATTGCATTTTTCCAAGTTAGCTGTTTGTTCTTAAGAGCGTTGAAGAAAACAAAGCCAGCCTAAAGTAAGCCCGATTGCACGGTGCTCTAATTCAATCCTTTCTCAAATTGTGTGTAGGTGAGGAATTAGAAAAAAAACAGAACGAGGATGATGAAAATTATCAAAACAGGGGTAAAATAGAAGTAACCCCTTCATGGATTTTTTTATTCCAATTTTTCTTAATTAATCATTGGTCGATAAATAAGTATCTTTGCAGATATCATATCGAACTCTCACTTATCAAGTCAGCTTATCAAAACGCAATCAGAATTCAAAAGATAAATAGCAAAAATAAAATCTTATCATTCAAACAAACATGGCCGATCCCAAACGGATCTTTATTCTAAGCCATTATTCAAAGTTTACGTTCTGACTCACTCAAGAAACAATTTTTCTCGAAATCCTTTGTTTTCTATACGTTGTCAAACGATTCTTCGGCCAATGTTTACTTTTTGATATGCAGACCGGGGGTGTAGAGAGCGCAACACAAACATCGGGGAGAATGAATGAGAGTGTTGAATAGCTGAGAAGTCGGTGTCGATTTCGCACTTATTTCAAGGAGGATTTGATCACGTTTGTTTTGAGATACGCACGAAACATGTAGAAGTATATGCTAGTGGAAAATTATGTAAAGTAAGTAAAATTTAATGGGAGTTAACAAGGAGAATGTAAAACTGAAAAAGGAGTAGCTTACAGGCCCGTTGAGCATCCTTGGATCGATGCCATCGATATCGCCTTGGAATTTTCCTGAAACGGTCGTTTAAAATTTTTGAAAATAAAGCAGTAATCTTTTCTTCCCTACCTGAATAAATCCAGTCCTGATGAGGTCGTTGTGGCCTCCGAAATTCCTGAATGTATGGCTGGACAAGCCCGTAGATGTTACTGTACTGTCCACAGACGGGGTCCAAACTAACAGCAACGAATAACCAAAGGCTGATCGCCCTCATCAGGAGTGAGCGATTCGCCTCCTGTTCGACCGCCGCCCACGTTCAGGGCTCGCCAAAGCACTGGTTATTTCGGCCAAGTCCGAGCCAAAGCCACTGGAGGACCCGTCGAGAGCGGATTCGATCCTGGAATCGAGATAACGAATCAACCCACACCTACTCACGTCAGCCGTAGAACCGTTATCAAACCACGAGAAATTTCTCACAAGCGGAGCCCTCTCTAACAAAAACGACACATGGAGCTGGTTGAAGTGGAAAGAAGTTGTTGAGCTAAGGACGCTTTGGACTCGGAATAGCCACACAACCGAAACCAGGCCAATGTGCCGAAGAGCCTGTTTCAGCAGTCATGCACACAACACACAGGGATGTGTTTTTGTTAAGAAAGGAGGGGGGTGTCTGGTGTCGGTTCTCTATGTAAATAGCCACACGAATAGCCACTAACACTACTTAGGCACTTGTTCAAATACTACGTTCAACGAGTTAGTAGCGGATGAGTCGACATCGTGTACATTAATAATTAACAGCCGAGAGAGTAAAAGGATTACCAGAAAAGCCGAAAGAGGTGTGGAGAGCCAATTATTAACAAATCATTAATTACTGGTTTGGTTTCTGATCATATACAGTATGATGTGTACATGAATAGTATGAATTCAGTGCCCCACAGGTAGTGTAATACAGATAGTATACAAAATAACTGGTGATATAAAATTTGGAGTGACTTTCGAGATAGATATCTAACCAGCAATATATGATATATGATTTATGTAAATGGTTCAAGATATGGTGCATGAGGTTGCTACAATTTTTTTCAAACATTTATTACAATTAATATAAAAATATCTGGATTTTTTCGTTTGGATTTTCCCCTAGGACGACTGGCCTCATACTAATAGTAATTCATAGTTTAAGGTACACCCTGAGTGTAAAGATATAGATGAAGATAAAGTAAAGAAAGTTTATTCGTGGCAAGTTCAGATTGGCTCTCATATAAATTTATCAATGACTATGCACTCTTCCATGCTTTCTTCTAAAATGTTTAACAGGGTGAAGTGCATGTCGCAAGATCACTGCGAGGGTGTTAAGTCTGACAACAAGTTTTATGCTTTTTGACATTCTTTTTGCTTTTAAACAAAACTATTTTGAGGAGAGTAGAATTGAGACAACAAAAACAAAAGCAGGCAGTGGCAACGGAATGAGAAGATTAAATTAATTATGGATAGCAATCGTTACTTAATACTGTAAAAGGAGAAGAAAATTAAGAAGAAAGAACACTTGTGGAAGAAGCTTCAATCTCTACTTCTGAGCATATGGCAACTAACGGACCATGACAACCGTAAGGGCCGCGGGATACTTGATGACCTACATACTGTGAAGAAAAATCATATAAACTTCTTACAATGTGCTTGAATTTCTCCGAGGTCTTCTCTGTGATTTGTTTTGAGGATGCAGAGCGGAGAGCATAGTGAAGTAGGCGGTGGGGTAGGAGAAGGGAAAGAGCGCACAAAAATTTGCAATACAAGGAAGGAAATATCCTTTAGTCATAATTTTTGCTTCATATATGTCAAACCATGAGGATTGCTGATGAAGACATGTCAATGACAGTTTGACAAACTCAAGCGGTTGAAGCCCATGCAAACTCATACGGTGGGACAATTTTAGAAAAATTTATTTTTCAAGAGAGTCACTGATTTCTTAATACTATAGATGGCTTTGCAAGAGTATATGATTACAATCGAATATTTTGAAAATTTCTTTTCACTTCATTAAAGCTTTGGATTATAGAAGAGCTATGGGACAACAAGTCAATAAGAAGACCAAATTCAAATTTCAGGACTGTAGGATAATAGCCAGGTGACACAACGATACTGGACAACGCTCTCCTATGCGATGTGCGCTTTTTTTGACATTGGACCGAAGACGGGCGCAAATATATGGACAAACCGAAAATTCCGTGCACACCTCTCTCGCCGTCGGCTGTTGTGCTGTCAAGCAGCACTCGTTTCGAGTTTTCAAACAATCAACACGCTTTGAAGACGACACAAGTGTGCTCTCCAAGGGAGATACCATTTATCCGATGGAACAAAGGATAAGCAGTATTTCATGGAACTTTGGGAATTAAACAATGCAGTATTCCGTCCAATAGTTGAAAGTGAAAGAATAAAGCATTTAGTTCGGATAATGTTCAGGTTGTTCCTTAAAGGTCTGCTATGATGAAACTCATTAAGTATCGACCTATGTAAAAGATCCGGTGCAGCAGAATAGAAGGAAATCGAAAACGTTTTTGAGTTCAACTTTATATGGCTAAAAATTAAACAGAAAAACCACTACCAGTGAGTGCAATGGCGTACCGAGGGGAGGAGGAGGGGATGGGTAGCGAAATTTTTTGCAAGTTACTCAAATATGTTGTAAAAATGGGCAGAGGACTCTTTTTACTGTAAATAATTGAAATTTTTAAAAATTTTAAAAATTCAAATTAGCCTTGTAAAAAATATTTTTCGGGGCCCGAAAAATATTGAGAAGCATCCCAAAAAATTTGTCGGAGTGCGTGTTAACGGCTCATCCGAAAATAATTTACTCCTCCCCCCCCCCCCCAAAAACAAAAAGAATTCTGGGTACGCCACTGACTGAGTGTAAATACTGCACAAACTTACGCTTAATTGTCTCACTATGTCAATTTTAAAAGTTTAGGAGCATGGATCATACATTGGGTGCCAAAGACAAAATTATTTATCAGTAATTATTTTCCCACTCAAAGAATAACGGTCAACATTCTTGCATGAATTTGAAAAATTTAAAAATTTAAAAATTTTAAAACATATGTTTAGGTGCTCTTTACGGTATCACGAAATGCCTACTGCTACAGATCGAGAACGGTCGACGGAGAAAACTGCTGAACATGCTATCTATTCTGTTTCAATATGAGGGTAGCTGTTCACGGTGTTCAAACTGGGAACAACTCAGAGATATTCATCATGCCTTGAAAACTTTTTTCGTAGTAAAGTAATGTAAATGTTAACTGCTAAATCTTCGTCGGAAAAGAGAATTCTTTGGACATAAATATTCTCGCACTCCATTGCTCTTCAACCCTGTCGATCCTACCTGATTAGCATGTATCACTCCCGTGATGCCAATGAAGTGGAAGCCGCAATTTTCGGATTAACACCTTGGTAACCATTGACCAGTGGTCACCTCTATAGGGCAGTATATCGACCGACAGCACTTTTACATACTTCTGAACAGCTTCAACCTAAGCAGAAACTACTTTGCACCTTTTTTGCTCAGTACTTTTGGTACTGATGCTTATACTTTTCAATTGTAGAAAATTTCCTCATGTTTTTAAGGTCCAGGCAAGGAATCGTGTCTCAAGTGACAGTTGATAGTTGCCCTGGCAATTATCAGTCCTTCAAAGGACGATGAGAAGGCTAAGAATTTTAATCTTCTTGAATGTGCTCCCGCTTGCACTGGCATTCGACTGGGGTGACTTCCACAAGGTAAATTGATAACACTGACCATTTTGCTCTTGAAAGAAAATGGGGATTTGCTGGTAAAAGGTTATTGTGTCAAAATTTTACCACAAACTCTTCATATATGTTTGATTTTGAAGAGTGAAGTAATAGCATACAAAGCAACATCATTTCTCACAAAAAATCAAGTTAGTCTATAAAATTCTGAGCTCGAACTCAGCAGCGACGAGAGGCTAAACCTCAGTAAAACTTTTATTTCTTAACCACAGTTTGATAAGTAGTTTTCGATTAAAGTAAGCATAAGATTTCTTCTATTCAGGTTCTGACTTGGAAAATTGGTTTTGCAAATGAACATTTCCTCTTTTGTGTTTTCTTCGTTGAAGATTTCTAATCTGACCGCGATGTCCAGTCCATTTCGGAGTTGAGAGGTTACAAGCAATAATCCTCCTATGTAGAAACGGATCTGGGAATCATGAAAGATAAAGTTTTAAGAGTTCTATAGTTCTAGTTCTCTCCCTATTACAAGTGAGGAAAAAACTTTTCACAAAATCAACTACGTCAACCAGATTCGCGGCTTCATCCCGAATTTCTTCATCAACTAGGAAGTTTCCAGAAATAAAATTTTGAGCAGGAAATTGATTGAAAACCTGGAAAACTGGACAACTCTGAGAGTACCAGGCCTTAGTGGAAAATCTTTGCAAAACCTGCTCGGCTGTTGATCTGTTGACTGAGCGAAATTAGTCATCATCCGCATGTTTGTGAAAACCGGAAGAGCCGAAAGCGGCGGTTAAACGAGCAGCTCAAGCACCTTTCAGAAATTGCGGACGTTCTGTCAAGGCCAAAGAACGGGGAGATGTTGAAGTACATTGAATGGTCCAAAGGGGAAAGCACTATTTGTGGTCTCATTCGACTTTTTGTCTTTTTGTTCAAATCAAATCATTATTCTACTTTTTCTATATCAATAGGAGAGAATTATATGTATTTTATTAGGTCTTCCCAATCCGGTCACATTTAGTGGTCCGAAGGGGCAAGCATAATTTATTTCGTAAGCAAATGGGTCGATAATGCATTTTTGTTCAAAGCAAATTATTATTTTACTTTTTCTAAGTCAATAGGTGAAAATTATATGAACTATTTTATTAGCTCGTCCCAGAAGATTTCTTTTTCTGTCTAACCATAACTGTAATCAGCAAGAAGTCAAATGAAATTACAATAGAATTCATCCAAAAAATCCCACAGTAAGCAGATCCATAGTCGAGAACATCACGCATTTTTACTGTTTTTTTTCAGAGTATTTTTTGAAACACAGGTATCTGATTACTCCATTTCCAATCACATGATGAGATTTTTTTTTTGAAATTTGAAAGTTGCGAGCTAGGAATACTCTGGACGGGAGTTAATGCATTTTTTTTTTTGAAAAACGAAAGATGCTGAGGACAAAAAGAATTAGAACGAGTGAGTCGACTTTATGGTGAAGCAGCTGTCATCAAATCTGAATTTCAGATTTGAAAAGTATCATTTTCCAACAATAAATAATGATCAATGAATTAATATTGCAAATTTCTGCTTGAGAAGGTCATTTTCATTTCTTTTCACTATAAGTGAAATTTTACCAGTTTGACTTGATTCTAGCAGAAAAGACATGTAAGAGAAGTACTGGAAGGAGCCTATTATAAAAGCAACAATATAAAAAAGAAAGAAAGAGGAAATAATAGAAAGCTTAATTGAGTTCAACATATTCCTTTTGAAAATTCAAATTGCAGGTTGCCGTCATCTTCTTCTCATTCTTTGGACCAGGTGTCATACTTGGTGCTATAGCTATCGTTGCCTATTTCGCTTGTGTGAGATCTTGGTAAGTTGTTTTTGAAAATTGGAGTTTTTCACAGCAACTAACACTGCAAAAATTTTCAATATTTAAAAATATATGCTAAATACTCTCTAGTTTTCAAGTGAAGAGGAGATTTTTTTTTCGTAGTTCTGACAAGAAGTGCTAATTCAGCCACTGTTTTTGTGTCACGATAAAGACCAGAAGCAAATGGAAATTCGTATAAAAACATAAGTTGCGGTTTGTTATCTTTTGCGCAATATACAGTACTCCCAATTTTTGCGAACAACTCTGTACCTTATCATAGAGATTCTGGTTCTGTCATTTTGAACAAAAATCAAAATAGGTACGAGTCAGTGCGAGAAGAAATCCATGAAACTCATCGCTCCTTTCATCCATGGCCACCTGGATCAGCAAAATGGCAACTGCAGCAATTCAGTAAGTGTACGAAATTGCCAACTTGTAAGTTAGAAACCTTCAAAGTCCTTAAAAATCTTCCATCGCAGTAAATGGCAAAGGGCCACCACCTGTCGAGCAGCTGAAGAAAATTCCACCAAAATTTCCACCACCACATGCTTCAGCGCCACCGATTCATCAACGTATGACCCATATGTCAGCAGAAAATCTACTATCTCCAGGAAAACTTGTTTCTCCAATGCCACAAAGTTCTGCTCAGGTTGGTTTTTTATCCATTCAAGTGCATATTAAATGGACCATGAAATGTAAAACTACGAAAATATATTGTCGATTTGAGAATCTGAAGCTGAAAAATAATTGTAAAATTGAAATTTTTCGCAAAATTTCGTAACAACGATCGTTTCGATAATCGAAAAGCAATACATTGTCAATCGTATTATGATTCATTCCTGCTAATGCCACGCACAGACGCATAAAAAGCAGCTTTTCCTTGCAAATTCCTTTACCCGTGTGTGGGCAATTCGCATGCAAATCGTCTTTTCTCTTGAGGCAACGCTTATCTTCTTATTATTTTTGCCTATTACTTATTTCTATGCACTTCTTTCTTGTTTGTTTTTCAGCTTTCGTACAATCGAAATTTTGAACCAATAAAGACTTTTTGTGCAGGTCTCAAAAGCGTATACATTGCTGGTAAATAATTTAGATTGGTTTGTCTTGCATCAAAAATACTGAAATTCACCATTTACAGAGAGTCCTAAAAGTATGTACACACTGTTTGATCGTTATTATCTCTCTTCCCTCGAAGTCTTTTGTCTACCTTAAGGTATTATTTTGTAGAGTGGGCTTCAACTTAGAATTACAGCATGGAGTGAACCAACCACCTTTTTTCATTACTGTAGGGATACGCTAAGAAGTTCAAGAAGGGGTTTGAGCCATTGATTGCGCTATTTCGCCCTAGAAAAAATCAGACATCCTGGGACCTCTTATACTAGACTATTCAAAGTCCCTAAAACCAAGTATGAATGTGTTTTACCACAATGCTTCCTTTATAACTAATGCCAGGTAAACTGCAATAGCTGTCTTTGAAATCCTCCCTAAAATTGTGATTACACCATCTAAAAAGCTTTACAAACTCTTGAAAAATTGGGTAATGAAATCAGCGTGCTTAAATTCAGTGACACTCAACTTTTCAGGAATTTTTGAAACCTTCTTCAAAACACGACTAATTTGAAATGACATTCTAAGCCAAACGTTCTTACCATTAGCTTACAGTGATGAAAAGAGATTGGTAGTTCGCTTCATACTGTGAATCTAAGATGAAGCCAACTCTACAAAATGATACCTTAAAGTAGGCAGAAGACTTCTTTGGAAGAAAGGTATTAACGATGAAAAAGTGTATACATACTTTTAGGACACCCTTTATTCCAAGCAACGTTCCAGAAAATACTTTATATATTGAAACATGTACAAGCTCTACTTAATTATGAACGTGAGAAATTTTATTCGTAAAGAAATCCAAACAAGCTGGAAAAAGTCGAGAATTATCACTTTTAGTCGGAGCATCCACTGAACATACATTCTCACAGTTAAAAAATTTGGGAGTAAAGTATGATTAAAAATTAAATTAGAATTGGTTTAAACTTCTACCATTTTTAGAAACGAGAAATGCAAAAATTACGATTTGAGTGTTTGCATTAATCAGTATGCATCACCATGATATGCCAACATAGATTCTTGCTTCAAGCACTATTAAAAACCCATGATTTCCCATTTCTAATCGCTGAAAGCACAGATACTTACGATTTCTTAATTTTATTTGTACAGGACTTATGGACCAACCCAGACTATGAAAAATTGTGGTCAAGTAAGCGTTGGAGTTTTCGGAATTGTATGAAATAATTGTGGAAAATGACCCTAACTGGGATGTGTAGCTTTCTAGCATATTTCGACAGTAATGCAAAACGATCGATAATTTGCTCCATGCTGTAAATATAAGTTGTAGCCGGCCTTTTAGAGTGCTACTCAAAAACATTGCGTACATACTTTTAGGACGGTGTTTTTATACTATATTAAATCTTATACATAAAGTTGAATGTCTGTTTGTTTGTCTGTATGTCTGTCTGTCTGTATGTCTGTACGTATGTTCCAAATAGAAAATTCCATTTCTGAACCGATCCGGACCAAACTTTGCACACATACACTTTGTGGCCGGGTGGGTGTCACAGGCTACTTTTCGTCATCGATCGATATCGATTTTATTGATTTTTCAAGAAGTTCGAGCTACGGGGCTGGGAGTTGGCACAGGGGGGTAAGTGAGCATGCTGATTACGACTATATTATTGACAGGGCCGGACGGAGCCAGGTTTTTTGGCTAGTATTCTCAATTTATTATTATCATCATATTTGGAAGGTTTCAGGACCAAATTACATTTCACTTTTACAGGAAATGATCTATGTATAAATTCTCAAGAACTGCTGAGACATAACTCATGCGCCGTATTTACCTAGTGTTTGCCGCCTTTTGTTGATTTTGCATTCAGCCCGCATGGCATGAACTCTCGTCGATAGTGCCTCGTAGGAGCACTTGCTCTTCGTCCTTTACCGCCACTCTCCACAGCTTTCGTCTTGGAACTTTCCCTCAACCTCCAACACATTAGTTTTAGTACGGTGAGAAAGCATCTGAATATCATTTCAAAACCGCTATTTATTCAAAAGCTTGCTTATTCATTGTACACCATCTTTTGGTCAAATCCTCTAAGATTTGCCGGCAATCAGGATCTCATTCTTTCAGTCATTTAAAAGAGTTTATAATTTTGTAGCAGTATTTCTAAAGGATCGATCGTCTATAGTGTCTTCATCTGTACCGGAGATTTGTAGTATAATTGCAACTACTTTTCTTTACTATTCATTCTTCATCTTTTATAGAGATCAAAAGACGAATTCTTCCACGCTCAATCTTATTCTATTCCATAACTTGGTAGTCGAAAACCATTTTATTAGGTTGGAAACGAAGTTTTGCGAATTCCCTCATAACTTCACCTCTTTGGATGTTGCGCACTCAAACATTGGCAATATGAAGGACGTAATACGTTCTACAAGTATGTATGGACTGTGGAACATTGAACATGAATTAGGAAAATTCGAAGCGTTCGAAAACTAGTGAATTTTGAAAATTTTTGGGTTGTAAGCCAAAATGAAGCCGTTAGCGACCTTGATCATGTACAATGATCCGAAATTGTGTGTGAATTAGTGCTAAAGGTCAATTTATTCAGCTCAGTAAAATAGAAATAAATTTGAGGATAACTCGAGGTTTGAAGATAACTCGAAATCTACGTCCTCACAAAGTTGAATGAGCTGCTGTACGCAAGGCAACCGTCAATGGCTAAGGAATCGGAACCTCAAAATTCTTCGAAACTTCGCATATTGGGGTTATTATTTGACCTGACAAATACGAATATCATATTCATTTGTTGAATTAACACCTTTTTTTGACTAGGGTGAGACCTGGAACCGTAAACCTACAGCAATCCTACAAAAAAGCCCCTACCTCAAATTTCCAGTGCCGTTTTCGTGATTAGCATGTCGAATAGCCCCCTTCCCTGTGCTAAGTTTCACCCAATCTGTAAAAATTTACAGTTTTTCCCCTAGTACCGTATAACTGCCGTAACCCTCAGTGCGACATCAGATGGCAGGAAAGCAGCTGTTTTTTAAGCTTACGTCATAATCTGCATAAGGCCCCGGACAGACTTCGCGCGACTTAATCGTCGCAATCTAATCGCCAAGATTTCCATTCATTTTCATTCCACATTCAAAAATTTCGGACTGGAAAAGTATCACAACCGAATGCAAGTTGATCGGCATGGAATGATGTTGTAACAGTTGTCTCGTCGCGATTCAGTCGCGACGACCAAATCGCGTGAAGTCTGGCCGGGGCCTAAGGGCAAAATTCGAGTGCATGTTGAAGAAAAATGTTATTGAAATAGTTGCAAAACTTAGTTTTCAATTTTTTATTTGATCATGATGGATTGATCATTTGACCATAAGCTGAAAAAGGCTTGCAATTCATGGTAAACTGAATTTAGAATGTGCAGACATTAGCCATTACCATATCTTCATTTGCGATAGAATATGCCTTCAAGCGAAACGATCAAGCTCTCAGATAGATATCAAATGAGATTGCACTGAAGTCATACTTGATCTATCACAATTCTATCACATTAACCGAATCTGTTCTTGCAGATCTTTACTATAAACTTTGATTTATTAAACAGTCATACAGTTTCTGGAAACGCTTTCTTGCAAACGCCACTCGGTATGCGAAGTTTCTTGCTTACCTCGTGATCTAACAGAATCATTCAAAATTGTCTTTTTTCATTCACTAGCTACTCGACGCAATTTGCCCGACTTCTCCCCCTATTGTCAATTCACTCTCAGCATTTGAAGTCATCTATAATCTGTAATACGACCGCTTTTTTTGCATCGATGTACATAAATCTGCTTCAGCGATCACATTCACCGCACGATCCGCGCACCACCGCTCAGCCGAACGTTACCTCAGGAGGTATGAATCATTACACAACAAAGGTATGAGTATCTTCTTAACAATTACTAATTCCTCAAAAACACCATGAGACCGAACACCTTATAGCCTACACCTTCCGCATCCGTACCGCTCGAAGTTTATTGTGCTCCGTCAACAACCTACGTACCATATCAAGTCACAAGTCCAAATGACACCACCGGTAAGAAAATTTTGAACATTAAAAAATCAAAGCTTTTCTCTTTATTCGAGAAGGTATAGATGATTCGTTGACCGCACGGACTGGATATCACTGCGTAGCATGCGACGCGAGGTAAAACTCTTGCCCAGTACAAATTCGTCATTGTAGAAATGTGCTCTCGCGACAATTCAGCCGCGCCGCACGTGGTCCGCAGCGTTTGAGCAGTCCTGCGCTCAACAAATCGGCGATACTGTAAACCGAATGCTTACGTAATTCGGGTGCCTGGGTTTCTTATGCGAACATTGATAGAGAGTACTCCTAGGCCAATACCCTATAGGCAACTTATATGTTTCATCCATGCCGGGAGAATCATTTCTAAGCTTCATCGCAGAGCGCAGTTATCCCAAGCGGACCGATCAGCGTCCCGTATATACGGTAGAAAATACGATCCGAGCTAAAGTAGCCTAAAGTGACAGGACGACTAAGCCATATGAGCTACCGCCCAGGAGGTGGTTTACAAGTCCTACCAAAGAGTATCTATAAGAGAAGTCCACAAACCACGAAATTGTTCAAACAATGCCATCAATGTCTTCAGGGTCTACACAACATCATTCACCCGGTTACACCATGGTCGATAAAACGCCAACGGGCGATGTCAATATATACATGCATTCGCCGAACAATGGTTGGTGTCACTTTTAGAGATACTTGTAGCTCTCAAAATGATCAGAAACTTTAGGAGGGCAACAACTTAAAGCTATTGCTGTCCGAACAACTACGACAACCAGAAAAACCACAATACTCAGTCCAGTACCAAAAAGACCTTACACTGTAGTCTAAATTAGTTTGTGGGAAAATTACTTAAATTCCTCATATTTATTGGATGTGCTCGTGTAATTTTAAATTTTCTCTTGTGCTTGATAAAATATCGAAAATTACGTCTACTGGTTTTCTGATGGCAGGGAGGATAGGAAAAGGCACCAGCTTTCAAAGAGAAGCCTAAAAAATCAAAACTTATGTGTTCGATTTCCTTGAAAAAAAAAACTAAGCCGTTATTGAGAAAAGTTTCGTTAACCTGTAAAGGTGTCGATACATAGTATCACAATTTATTGCGAGGAACAGCACTATACCAAATTTACATTTTTGCACAGAATGATTAAGGACAATGTACAGGTTCGACCCGGACATGTGAAAGCTTTGGTTAATGCTAGACTAAGACTCTTTGAGGCAATAAAATGAGGTGAAGTAAGTATAGGATACTTCTATGACTAAATGTACTATCAGCAATTTGGAAATTGATACAAAGTTACAAATTACATGCAGAACAATTACATGACCTACCTAAAATTACGTAAAGACACAGTGAAGGTCAACCCGTAAAACCTGTGGGTACCGATGCGACTTTAGTGATCTCACACATTAGAGTCATGAAGTAGTACAGGCACTTTGACTAACGAAAGCGTAAACGTGCTCATAAACTGTAAGCCGTGGATTTCGCTCACGTTCTTGTCGATAGGTCACGAGCGCTTTGTAAATCATGCCTAAATCATTGAGTATCGATACAGTTTGAAGTTACTATCTCATTATTAAGATTTTCCATTCAGTTTTTAGAAGAGATCACATCTGTGATAAGATATGGTGCTGTTGAAAATGCGAATGAAAGTTTCACATTTCAGAGAAAAAGGCGAAAACAATCTAGGAAAAATAAACAAAACAAAGCAAAACAGAAAATTTTTTCCAAAACAAAAAGCGATATGGAAATAAAGAAAGGAAGATAGGAAAAAATCTGACCAACAGTTGCCTTCTTCTGCACAAGTTTCTCATAGAGATTGTTCATTGAAGCCTCGAACATCTCATTCGAAAATGTGTAATAGATCATAGCTCTACCTACTTTAGCAGCTGCCATCATCTGTATAAGACCTGCAACGATATGACGTTATACAACGCAAACGATTCCGCCAATAAGTGCAAACTTTTCAGTTCTTTATCTCCACCAAAAACTCCACAACCCCAGTTTCCTGTTGCAATAGGTGGCGATACTTCTGTCCTTGTCGTAAAACCAGCGTAAGCCTTAGAAAAATTGATAAAGCAGAAACAAACACAGCAGATCCTCTATACCTTATTCAGTTCTCTGTCGATGTTTTCAACTCTATACTGAGCAGGTCTCGTAACACGTTTGAAGTACTTAGCATCCATTGCCACAACCTCGCATATGATTCTCCTTTATCATGAATTCTCAAAAAGGTTCAAGAAAGAAATAAGGCGGAAGCAACCCACTGGAACTCGTCTCTAGGTTCACTGCCGTAATTCTCGTAGCGAGTCCATTCTAGAGTTGCACCTAGAAAGGGATTATGCTAGTACAAAAACTGTAGCTGCCTGTCATATTTTCACAGCAATGATGACAAGAACGCGACAATTTGAGTGAGCACTTACCGTATCCCACATAATCATTGTAGCGTTGTGCACCAATTATGTGAATTGCTTCAAGCGGCCCCATTCTCTCACATAAAAGAGACGATACAATCATTTCTGGACATATCAAAAATCGAATTTCTTCCTTAAAAAGGTCAATTTAATAGATATTCAGCAAGACAACTGTCAATACCTGCACTGCTCCAGAGTTCAGCACGCCGCCGCCGATGTATTCGTTAGCGAAATCAACTTGTAAGCATCCAAAAGAGTCTTCGATAGATCCTGCGCTGGCGACGGCGGCTAATGGAATCTGCAGAAGTCCTCCGTTTACAAAAAGACAAGAGATGATTTCGACAAACTATACCGAAGTTTCATCTGTTTCCCATTTTGGTATTCTCTCTTTAGCGACGACCTCTCGCCGAAAGGAAACGCAACCCGTCGGCATTTTTTTCAGCACAAGTGAAAAATAGTTGAGAATGAAGCGTAACTTTACATGGGATAAAGGATTAGATCCATGGTAGATACTAAAAACAAAACATATTACAAATGAAGAAAGAAATGTGATAAACTCACTTGGCAAAGTTTATTCTATTGTAATCACGACGTTCTCGTCGAAAAGTGCAGTAGAAAGCATGAGCAAGGAGACAAGCACACTGTTCCTGACTGAGCGTCACCGATCCTGGACGATTCGCAGTAAGTAGAGGAATCGGCTAAACTTTGTACGATATATGTATAGAGCTGCCTTACAATAAGCTGAAACACTCAAAACGCTGATAAAAAATGCAAGAAAGCCCGCCTCACAAAGGCTTCAAGGCATTTCGAAAAAAAAAATAAAAAACTTTCCAGTTGAAAAAAACCAGCTCCATTTTCAAAATTTAAGCAAAGTAAATTACCGCTGTAATAATAAACTTGGCGTTCGCTGCTAGTCTAGCGATTCCAGCCATGATATCGAGTGCTTCACGTTCCTCTTTCATCGATAACCCATCCATGAAACCTATCAGACCATCAAAGGAGGGGATCCACGGAGCACACTCTTTGAGGGTAACCTACAAGTATGATATCAGGGCGGTTGAATACCGAAAGCTTCCAAACTCACTATGACAGCTTCAATGCAAGGAGCACCATCATGTACAAGAGCACGTAAAGCCCTATCTATGACGATGTACCTATTAATTGGGAAAATGGCAATTAATTGGCAAGAAAGAAGAAAAGTAGTAGCTATACTACTGCTAGATGCTAGAACCTCGGGTCTGAATCAACGCACTGGTGAAAGCCATTGTTCTTGTTTGCCGTAGACCAAGGGAGACGAACAAAACCGGGAGTGTCAAAGTTCAAATTCGTGTCAGAACAAGCCTCTGGGGATGGTTTTGGGGGAGATCCTGGAAGGTTTCAGAAAATGATGACAGGGTCGTTAATGACTCAAAAGATCAAAATTATAGATTAGGCAAGGAAGACCTTGATTCAATAGATGAGCAAAATCTGAAAATACTTTTGAATATATTACCTCTGGAAAGACTGGAAACTTGAAAGGCGCAGTGATCGTTGTTGTTTAAACTATGCAGATTGGGTTCAGGCGCTCAAAATGAATTTATCATACACCACCAACAAACAAAAATACTTTAGATTACCATGATGATTAGCAGCTTTAGCAAGTATCGTTTCAAGTCGTTTAGCATTGGAAAGCTCCATCTTCCGAGGTGAATACAGCAATTCAGTCAAAGGCTTCGATCTGAATAGCAATTTGGCAACGTTCATCGGACAAGATTTCACATGAGGGGATGTAAACATCGTGATACGCAACGGATGCAAAACAACACGATTGCCGCCAGATACAAATGTGATATTAGCGTTCAAGGCAATTAAAGGTAAGGTAAAGACATAATAAAAAGAAAAAAGTTTCGGATAGCCACAGCACACATTTTACTTCAGACAAACTTGCGTGTAAGAGTTACCAATCATTCTTAGTTGGAGAGCGAAGATGGGGGCAGGCGTGAGACCACAACCACGACAAGAACAAGAAATGCCGGCAAATGCCAGGGAACCTCACATGTACACAATGTTGAATCAAAATCTCACTAGTTTTATGGTTGTAAAACGGAATTCATTTATGCAATACTGCAACATAGTGACTAGAGAGGTTCGCAGTGAGTCACTTTTCAGGCAATTGGAAGAAGGAGTGGGGGAGAAAGCTTGCAGGCGTTGTCAAAAAACCGAAATCAGTGAAATCAATGGTGGCAGTATACCTGAAGTTACTATATACGTGCAACCAGGTTGAAGACGACAAGAGACAGAACAAAATCTGGTTGAAAGAAGGGACAAAAGAAGTCCAGAATCTCACTAGTATTTCAGCGAAAAAAAAACCTATTTGCCAAGAGCAAAATTGTGCGAGATAATTCTATACGAAAAACTTATTCAGGCAAGGCCCGAAAGACCTCAAGTGAGCAAGGATCTGCTCAGTTCAAAAGAAGAATAATGAAATAGATTGATGTATAAGTAATGCCGTTCTCGATAACCAAGAACAAGAATGCGAAAAATAAGGAATAAAGAACGGTCCTTCTTGTGCCAGGACTTGCTATTGGGATCTTCAAAACAGACTACAAGCTGGTTCTGCAGGTGGAGTTAAGGAAGATCTTACATGTTGCAGATGCAGATGTGAGCGCAAACAATAAGCAGAAGAAAACCCTCAAACCAAATATGATATAAACAAAAAATGGCACATGGACTTACTTAGACGGTGTCCTTTGCACTGTTTCTAACACAACAACCTCGTCATCGCTCGATTCCGGTGTAGCCGTGTGCTTTCCATTGCCTTTATCAATACTACTTCCAAAGCTGCCAGCAAAAATACTAGGGGACTGCGAAGACAGCGCATTCTCAACACTTCCTACTACTTCTGGGCTATCCGAGCCAGCCACGATTCTTTGCTGTTGTTTCGTTGGGGTTGCGTAATCAGCCAATTTTGCAGGGGCAGAAGAAGAGGCCACCATTGTTACATCATCAAGTTCCACACTATTATCGCTGTCTTCTTCTTCTTCGTTTTGCGAGATTTTTGGAGTTTCAAGACGCCTGAAATAAAGTGAATGACATGGCTATAAAGAAAAGCAAATCTTGGTAGTGAGAAGGAAACTAACATTTGCTGTACATTAGACGATGAAGGAACGTTTCCATCGCCATTAACGCCACTAATTCCCAAATCAAAAATGCTTTTCTCGCCGTTCGGTCTTCTTCGACGCACCACAGGTGTGGGTGGAAATTCAATATCGTCCTCATCAATAGCGAGATTCAGATTCGAAAATGACCGATTGGGCAGTTTTCGCTTTGGAGTGGCATGAGCATCTCCAAATGAACGATGCCTCTGTATGGTTCTTGCTCGTTTCTTAGTTCGTGAAGTGGGAGCGCTGTGCACTTCAAGAACCACTTCCACGTCTTTCGCTAAATCATCTTCAGGGTTACTGGAGCTGGACACCACTGTTATGGTTTCGTCATCTCTCTCGGGTTCGGCGGTCTCTTCGATAGCTTTATCGGTGGCATTGGGGAGCTGTTGTTCGGGGGGACTGTCAATGGTATTGTGAAGTCGTTGCTCGGGAGGATTGTTGGTGGTACTGGGAGTTGGTTGCTCGGGAGGATTGTCGGTGGTACTGGGAATTGGTTGCCCGGGAGGATTGTCGGTGGTGATGGGAGTTGGTTGCCCGGGAGGACTGTCGGTGATATTAGGAAGTGGCTGCTCGGGAGGAATGGCGGAAGCTATTTCGGTAGAATCTGCTGGCGATACAGCTTGTTCTTTTGAAGAAACATCCAAGACTTCGTCTGGAGATGGTTCATCAGCTTTGGATGACTTTGTAGCAGAGGTCTGGAAACTGCCTAGTACATGAAATTCGCGTAGTATAAATTTTGTTAGAAAATTGCAAAAAAACCAAGTCAAAGCAAAACATCACATTTCGCCAACCTTGAAATAGTTTTTAATCGATCTCCTTTTAGCTCTTTTAATGGAGTTTTCCATTCTCTCCTGTTGCCTGTCATGAGTGCCTTCCTCGCCTTTAGAGATCTGAATGGCGAAGAAAGTACGCTACCCTTGAAAGAATGTAAAAACGAAACCAACCTCGCTAACAACTGATGAAAGCCTACCAGAACGTGGTGTTTCTTGTGGGTCTATGGCGATTTCTTCAATACGATAGAATTACATTGAGCGAAAAAATAAGTGAATGAACAGTTCGGATCTTTAAACACAATTAATGACCGCTACCAATGGACTCACTTTTCCTGACCACTTCGACCTTTTTCTTGGACGGAGGAGGTTTACGAACCGGCTTCCACTGACCTCCACCGGATGATGTGGTGACAAAAGATTCCAAAGATGTTTGTTGTGTTTTCTGTAGAGGGAAAGTTGGTGGCAGAGATTTGGAGAGTAGAGATATAAAAACGTAATATCAAAATACAGCGAAATACAAAAGAGCCCAAGAAAAAATAAAAAAATCATTAATTATATCACCTTTCTACGAGGAGCTTTTCTTTCTTCTTCTGGAGATTCCTCAATTTCGACATTTGGATCGCCGATGGAAACTGCTTCGTTTTTTCTCTTCTTTACAATCCGTGGAACGTCGTAGCCTTTGAGCGCTACTTCCAAAGCTATGGGAGGAATAATTGGTTCTTGCTGCTCCTCATCATCATCCATTCTAGAATCAACAATAGTTTAGAAACACCTGTCTCAAAGAAAAGACTAAGCGTAGGACTAAAATTAGAGTGGTTCAAAATGCGGACTTGCACCGTGATGTCGGACGACACACGGAGAAATTACTCCAATCCAACTTTTTCTCACTGAGAGTGAAAGGTTTCTAAGGGAATCTGACACATGCGAGGATTATTTGAATCACGCAGGCAAAAAAGCATAGATCATGCTGACTCCATATGGGGGCAAGGCACGGCCCCGATATGTGGTTAGGCTCCCCTCTCAATTGTGTTCGGAATGTTGGCCATGACCGCACAATGGAAAGGATTCGCCCTCATTCTATTTTCTAGCGTGAAATTCGCTCAAATATCCAAAACCTCATCACCAAGTATCTCTCCGAAATCTTGTGTATATAGATTGCACATTCGATGAGAAGTGCGAGCAACACGTTTCGAGGAGACATAGTACAGGCCTTGTAAAATCCAATTGCCCACGCGTAGCTTAAGCTAAAAAAATCAAATTTGAACGCCAGCGCGTGGAGCGGCTGGAAACGTTGGGTCCCGAAGCGCTACAGGCTGTTACAAGCGACAATGCGAACCCTTCTCGCACACTCAGAGCATTGGGTCGTGCGGGCGGGCTGCGAAGTAGCCCTTCCGTGCGTGCGGGCAGCCTAATTATAAGGGTCATTCGAGCACCCGTGCGAGCGCGCCGCATGAGTTTAGGCATGCGAGCGGGCAACCATGTCTTTTCTGCGGCAGCTCGTAAAGGAACGCTGCCCAGACGCGCAATTACGGACTGTTTCAAAAAGAAAAGGCACGGTAATTGATGCGCAGATCTTCTTGACTTTCTCCTTTGAGATTATTTTATAACAAAAGCTTCTATACTTGAATCTTCTCTAGCTTATGTAGGACTTCTCTTATGCTGTATTTGTCATCGTTTTGGATGCTATGCTGCAATGGTTTTATCGCCCTCCCATGCGTATTTCTTTTTCAGTATTGATGCTAGAGCATTCTGGGATACTATGACCCCGTCTTTTTCCATGGTATTTTTGTTTGTTTGAGTTTTTTGTCATCCGTGTCATTCATTGATTGACCTTTGCCATAACTGACGTTTACCATAGAGACTTCGCACCTCATTTCGATGTGTGACATTCTGCCTACGCTCACTTGTGATGATCCGACGCTTTCTATAAATGGAACCCACATCGATTGCCACGAACACTCAATTAAATTTTCTACTACCTCAAGGTTCTATTGGACTACACGACAAGGTATGGTTCCTTGACTCGCTTGCCTTGATAATATGCCCAATTCTTTCAGCGGATACGAAGGATAGGTGTGATAGCACGACGTTTTATTCGAAGTGATCCTACGACATTAATCAGAAAACCCTTCATTTCTAGATCCTCAAGGATGTCTTTATTGGATCACACAACGAGGTATGATAGCAATCTTATTTGTTCTAATGAGATGCGCAATTACTTTCAGCAAAATACAAATGGATAAAGGCTGAAGATCGAAGCAAAGGTGATTCCTTATATCACTGTTGGCGTGCTGTGTTTGTTTGACAGTTTTATTTTTCAGAGCATGGAAAAAATAACTATTTTGGATGAAGGTTACCTTTAAGAAACGAGCGGAAACGCAGAATTTGAAGCAACCTTACGGACTATTGTTTTGTGTTATATTTGTATACTAGCTGGCTTACCCGGCTCCGCCGTATCCGGACCAAACTTGGCACACATACACTTCGGGCTCCGGCGGGTGTCACAGTCCACTTTTCGTTATCGATCGATGTCGATTTTACCGATTTTTATCGATTTTTTCGCAGAGTTCACCTACAGGGCTAGGAGTTGGCACAGGGGGAAAGTGAGCATGGGGATTCCGAATACAATATTAGTTTTCAGAATTATCGGTTACTTTTATTGATTTTCTCGATTTTTTGTAAATTTTGACATGCGAGGCTGGGATTTTGCACAGGGGGGTAATCGAGCATGCTGATTACGAACACAATATTAGTTTTCAGGATCGTCCATTACTTTTATCGATTTTATCGATTTTTTTGTAAAGTTTGACCTGCGGGGCTGGGAGTTTGCACAGGGGGTAATCGAGCATGCAGATTACGAATACAATATTAGTTTTCAAGATCGTCCATTACTTTTATCGATTTTATGGATTTTTTGAAAATTTGAGCTAGGGGGCTGGAATTTGGCACAGGGGTGTAATCGAGCATGCTGATCACCCCCCTTGGGGATGATCAGCATGCTCGATTACCCCCCTGTGCCAACTCCCAGCCCCCTAGCTCAAACTTTGCAAAAAATCGATAAAATCGATAAAAGTAATCGATAATCCCGAAAACCAATATTGTATTCGGAATCCCCATGCTCGATTACCCCCCTGTGCGAACTCCCAGCCCCGTAGCTCAAACTTTGCAAAAAATCGATAAAATCAATAAAAGTAATCGATAATCCTGAAAACCAATATTGTATTCGGAATCCCCATGCTCGACTACCCCCCTGTGCCAACTCCCAGCCCCGTAGCTCAAACTTTGCAAAAAAATCGATAAAATCAATAAAAGTAATCGATAATCCTGAAAACCAATATTGTATTCGGAATCCCCATGCTCGATTACCCCCCTGTGCCAACTCCCAGCCCCGTAGGTGAACTCAGCAAAAAAATCGATAAAAATCGATAAAATCGATATCGATCGATGACGAAAAGTAGCCTATGACACCCGCCGGGGCCCGTAGTGTATGTGTGCCAAGTTTGGTCCGGATCGGTTCAGAAATGGAATTTTCTATTCGGAACATACGTACACACATACATACAGACAGACATACATACATACATACAAACAGACATTCAGCTTTATATATAAGATAATATCAAATATTATATGAGAGATTGTAACGCGCAGCATAGGAATTGACAGTTCGTCTTGTCTCTTATCTTGCTTTCTGTTCTTGTTCACGATGTTAGTTTGTTCTTTTACAGGACAGTTATACATTCTTGCTTGCGCGATTCTGTCGAATTGTAATGTTATGATGTTTTGGTTTACAAAATAAACATTTAACGCATTAATGGAGTACATTCAAGCACCGCACATAAACAAGCAACAAAAATAACCCCGAATAAGTGTCCAAAATTATCAACCCCCGCGCGTGCGGCAACCCACCGTCATGCGGGCGCGCTGCGATACCGCTACGGCCCGCAACACCGGCGCCCGCTCGCTGCGGCGTGGCAACCCGCCCGCACGGAGCGAATCCCTGAGCATCTATCTATCTAATATATAAAGAATCGTAAGCGCAATTCAAAAATGTGCACATAGCGGGAAACTGCGGCGCGGTCTTGAAGCGAACTCTTGCCAATAGCACCTTTAGATTGCTGGTTCACTAGTATTTCTTCAACTTCTAAAGGGAGTTTTCGCTAAAATTTACTCAACGATGTCGGAATTAACATGGAAGTTAGTGAAAAATTCTCTTGGAAGATGGTGAACGCCTACAGTTTCTTGTGAGGACTGATCGCTTATGCTGGCTCGAGACACGGCGCTTTACAAGGCCTTTAAAGGCAGCGTCCACCCAGAACTTGGCCCCCCATGTTTTCGTCATTCTGGGGCCTTTCCGTGGCTCTGATTACATTTCCGAACTTCAAACTCTCTAAAATTCGCAAAAAACCCGATTTTTGGGGACCCGTTCTTGAGGGCGCGGACGAGTTTCGAATTGCTCGTCCCCGTCGGCAGGCCAGCGGGAAGGAGGCAGTGTGCAGTGTGCAGCTTCTGCTCACTACCTTGTCAATACGTGTCGGGAGTCACGTATTGACAAGGTAGTGAGCAGTCCCTGATGGGCGGAGTCTGGTATCAGACTCCGCCCAGCCAGGGACTTTCAGGCCCCCTATCTCCATTCAGAGACAACGTTAGAAGACCGGACCAACGCAGATGCCCCTTTTCTGGGGCTTACATTCAGAATCGACACTAATCGGAGGGGGCTAGGTTTAGCCTGGACACTGCCTTTAAGTATTTCCCTTACTCACCCAGTGTCCCGCACATTCTGAGCCACCAATCTCGGCTGTGCCTCAAATGCCTTAAAGGCAGCGTCCCGACAAAAAGACGGATGCCGGGTTTCTGTGGCAATGTTGAAGTAGACCCCACCTATGCGATGGAAGTTCCGAGCAAAAAAGGGGTCCTAAGATTTGCTTCAAAAGTGGCCCGGATCTTACGGTAAGCCCAAATGCCGCCCGCATAGCGATTTCGAACTGCAAGGCCAGAGCACTCAGACACTCGCGGTTGACTCGCGCAGGGGATCCGCCCACAAAATGGACGTTCGCGGCAAAATCCGGTGGACCGGCGCGAGTCATCATTTTAGTTTCGTCCGGATTTTGGTGCGATTTTGTCGCGACGGGCGAGGAGGTTTCGAAATAACGCACCTATACGTCGACGTATTGATCAATTCTTCCCTGCATTTGTTGCATTTGTTTTTTTTTCTTAGATGAATCTATACTTAGCAAAGCATGTCTTTCCAGAGACGTTCCATGCCGATAAAAACCAGGCTTAGACCAAGGAGAATCAGCTTGAGACGCTCATTTCGAACGCGTCCTTCTGATCACACGGCCATTATCTGCGTTGATCATCATCCGGAAGTAAAGGTGAACCCTTTTTCTCTCTTTCTAGAAGTTATATTTCATTCTTAGATTGTTTTGCTTGCTTACTTTAGCTGATTACTGGACTTTGAGTATTTATGCTAACGTGTACTATTTTGGTTTTCAAGCGCTTTTACGAAAACGAATGGGATGACGATTTTGCGTTGCGATCCCCGAAGCCAAGAAGGGAACGCCGACCTAAGCATAATCCTGTTCTTGAGGAGGTCGGAAGAGTTTCCGCATTATGATTACCATGATTCACCTATGATATAAGCTCATTCCAGGATTTATAGAAGAGGAAGAAGAGAATGTTAATGACAATGATGAAAGCCGCGAGAATGTCGATTCACAAGTGGATAGTGATCTTCCGGCCGTGCAAGAGCTGAATGAGAAGGCATGTTTTTATTTATGAAACTGAGAAAGTAATGTTCTTCTTTTGCGGTTGCTCATTTCTTAAAATGGTATGAGCTTACAAGACAGTCATTTTCGAAATTTTGGAGGTTATGCGATTTTTGAACTGCGGTTGCTTGTAATGCTTTTTCTGAACTTCTTAAAGCAGATTTTTCATCACATGAAGAATGTCATCTACGGTTCAATTCTGTGCAAAAACTGGCATCAATATTGTCGGTTCCAGTTCCATATTATTTAGAGTACACAATTCCAGTTCAAAATTTACCTGGCATAGCTCACATTTATCGTACCGCATCTCACGAGTTTAGAAAAATCACTCATTTGACTCTCGCCTTTTTTCAGTGATTTGTACTCAATTCGGAAGATGAAAGAGTTTATGCACATTGTTCATCCCGCACGTCATCATTTCTGACAGTTGGCTTAGCCGGAATTCGGAATTTACTTACAAGGGAAGGATCATCCATCGAAGTGGGGTTTCACAACATGATGCATATCATTCTGCTGCTCTTGGGGCCCTAATGCCAAATTCGTGATCCTTAGCTGCTCAATGATTTTCTGGGAAAAGTTATGAGCGATGGTTTACCCAAGATGCGGCTAAGGCTCGCACTGAGCTTGCGGCGCCAAGGGCATGCAGATATGGACGGGTGGTCGAGTGGATACCTGCGGAGACTATGGAGCAAGTGGTAAAGAGTTCGGACCACTTTTGCAGCCACAATCTTTGCAAGTTGTTTAAGGTTATATTAGAAGGTCCCTAAGGCAAGGAAACCCTCATTGCAACTTAATTACATCAAATCTCGGAGATAATGGAAAAATCGTGCAAAGTTTTGAATTGGGCAATGTTGGTAGATCAGTTGGATCAAAAACATGTAAAACAGGTACAATCAACATGGATACTTGATGGGAAGCTTATTCATCATTTTCAATTATGTTTTCGCCGCAGGTGGTAGTGGGGTAGCTAGCTAGAAAGTTCGGTCCATGCGAAGTTCTGCGCAAACCAACCAACCAACCAACCATCTGCGCAAATTATTGGTTTCAGGAGTTCAATATGGTTGAAGTCATGGAAAAGTGGCAGAGACCAAAACGCGCGCACAAGCATGATCATTTCCTTT